ACTGGAAGAAGTGGGTTTTCCACGGAGGAGGATGCAGAGTGCAGTGCTGTGCCCCAGCTGCTGCCTGCGCTTGTGCTGATGATGCTCCTGCTGATGCTCCCTTTGATGCATCCTGCACGTGGGCGCCCGGAGGAGCCGCAGCCTGGGAGGTGCTGGGTGGCTCAGCTCTGATTCACTGCCCAGACCCCACTGCTGGGGGCCATGGACCAGACAAATGTCACTGCTTCCCACAGGAGAGCATGCTCGTGCCACGCCACGGGCACCAGTTTGGGGTGCTGCTCAGTGGGAATCTGGGATTTTTCAGGGCTGTGCATTAAGATTCTGGTCATAGCCCAGCTTCTTTTTTTTTAGCAAAGATAAATGGCTACTGTGCCATCTCGGGTTGTCTGAAGCATTTTGGAGGCTTTTCTTCCCATAAATAGCCTTGTCTATCACTTCAGAGTGACACTGGAGTATCATTTCGTTGTGTGTGACACAATGATGCTTTTGAAACCCCAGACCAGCTCTTTTCTGTGAAAAACCACACTAACCCATCCACAAATCTCATGCTTTACAGATCCTCACTCACACTTAATCTGCTATAGGACAGAGATTTCCCTTTGCAGATGCAGATGAAATATGCTTCATTTAGTGGTTTAGGGGTTACAGGGGTAGTGCTAGGTGGACAGCTGGACTTGGTGATCTTACAGGTCTCTTCCAACCTTGAAGACTCTATGATTCTCTATGTGTGCACCTGTTTTCATAAGCACAAACTATCCTCTGTGCCAGTGCCAAGCTGGGGCTGCCAGGGGCGCCAGGGGTGTTGCTCCGCTGGTTTGCAAAGCACGGTGTGTCCCTCTGGGCACAGCAGAAAATCAGCTCAGCTCAACAGTCAATTTTTAACTTGCCCGTTGCTCCATGGCTTGGAAGGGAATCTTGCCCGGGAGGTGTTGCCGTTGACCGGAGTGCCCTATCTCCCTGCACACAAACACAGCTGGGTGAGGGCTGGTCCAGCTCCACTTTGGACTCTGCTCATGCCTCGCATGCTGGATTTCACCAGAAATTGAAGGTCACAGTACTGGGTGTTCAGCCACTGGGGAACATCCTCATCTCCTCCTGAACACCATGGTCAGGCTGAGCTGGGCTGTTGACTTGTTCCAGCCCCATCTTCTCACGGACAGGATGGTTGCAAGAGCAATTTTTTGGAAAGATGGGGATGGGTGTTAGATAGAGGGACAGAGAGTGGGACCTCTGTGCTGTCTGCTGTCACTGACACCCCCTTTGCTATGGGCCCTTTCTTTCCAGCACCCTGTGTGCTGATCCCCACCTTCCCCAGTCTGTCAAGCCACAGCTAGTACCAAGAGTCTTCTTATTTTCTGTCCTGACTTTCCATGGCTTTTCTCCAGCCAGCAGCGGCGGGGAAGCCACTGGTGTGCTCCCAGCACGGCCACTCAGGCTGTGTGGTCACCCCCTGCCATGCTCCAGTCCTAGGCCACGTTAGACAAGCCAGATAAAATTAGCAGTTCGGACGCATGTTCCTCAGGATGCTGGGACAGAGGGACACCCAGTACAGCCAGTTTGACTCACAGAGAAGAATTAATGGAAACGCCCGGCTCCTGGAGGGAGGAAATTCCTTGAACAGCCTTTTCCTCTGTTTGTTTGCGAGGGGAGGCTGACAATGGGCCCTGCATCTGGCCTGAGCGCGTCCTGGCTAGCTCGGAGCACAGCACGCGCAGGCACAGACAGCGAGTCTGCAGCACCAGGCGCTCAGGAAGGGCCCAGCACCGCCGGGTGACAGCGCAGCTGGGTGACCTGCCCTCCCACACCTCCTCTGCACACACTGGGGCAGGACCACAAAGCACAGCACAGTGTGGGCATCGGTGCTGGTGGTGCTTGGCTTGGCTGTGCGCTCACGGATACATGGATTGCCGCCAACATCGGATCACCGGGGTCAGGTCCAGGTGCTCTGAGCCATCCAGGTGCAGCCCTGGGGAGCAGCAAAGCAGGAGCACCCTGAGTGTGAGGGCCTTGCAATGGTTGGATGTTTGTACCTCAAACTCTCATTGGTAAATTTTCCCGAAGAATTCACTGCAGTTTTTGCTAAGCCTCCTGTGAGATGCGTTCCCAGAGCACAAACCTGCCAAAGCACCCGACAGGCTGCAACCAAGGAAAATTGACTTTTTCCTCCGTAAAAATCCAATAAACGTGTAACTTATTTGTAAGTGGCCTTTATTTATCAGGGATGCCACTTGGGCTAATAATTTCAATGTAATGAGACTAGAGGGACTATAAAATCCCCAAGACAACAGGATCTTATCAGTCATGTTATGCAAATGTTTGTGAGCAGGAAT